CCAAAAAATGCCAAAATTTTTATAAAAATTTAGAGGCAGTAAAAATCTGTTTTTTGGTCAAGAGATGAAGTATATCATTTTTTTTTCCAAAAAAAAAAAAAAGAGAATAAATTACTTCATTGACACACTAAAATACATTCTAATAAACATATTACTATAGTATATATCATTAATAAAAAATTCCAACCCGAATACAAGAGAGAAAAATACAAAAATAGTATTTTTTTAAAATAAAAAACACTATTCATGTCACTTTTTTTAAATATTTTATGATGGACTCTATATACAAAATAAAATAACCTTATTTTTTTCTTCAATTTTTCTTCAGCTAACTTAAAATTAAAATTTAAGATTTATAATTTAAAATTCAAAACTTTTAATCAATTCAGTTTTTTCTCTTACTTTATTCATATTATTTTCTTATACTGCTATTAAACAACATAAACCGAAAACATTTTTATGGTCTAATGGTCATTTCACCCTTGCAAAAGATTTATTGTATTATAACTTTTATAATTTGAAAATATAGGATTTAAATCTTATCCCGCCCTCAACATTCAGAAAAAAAAAAAACTTTAAATCATTTTTTTTAATATTAATCTCTTGATATCCAAAAATCACATTATACCCTAACTAATTTGAAGTCAGCCGAGCCCCGAATTGAATCCCATGTATAGAAAGTTCTTTAACGATTGTTTTTTTATTTATAATATTCAAACTTAAAATTTTATTTTAAAAAAATCAAATTTCTTTCAAATCAAAAATTAGTTGGTGTTGAATCACTTTCTAGTACTCCTATAAAACACAAAATGCTATATATAAAATAATGTGATAAACAATCTCTATTTACCAAGAATTAATATTCATCTTTCTTTCTTCGGTGTGGAATCCATGGAAACAGAAGTAGCACCGCCACCTCCAGCCAAGAAGATGGCAGAGGAACCGGTGGTGGACGGAGATGAGCTCTCCCCGGTAGAACAAGTCCGTCTGACCGTACCCAACACCGATGACCCTTCTCTTCCCGTATGGACCTTCCGCATGTGGTTCCTTGGTCTCTTCTCATGCGCCCTCCTCTCCTTCCTCAATCAGTTCTTCGCCTACCGTGCGGAGCCGCTAATCATAACTCAAATCACCGTTCAGGTGGCGACGCTCCCCATTGGACAGTTCATGGCGTCCGTACTTCCCACCACCAAGTTTCGGATCCCCGGATTTGGTTCCCGTGAGTTCTCCCTCAACCCAGGTCCGTTTAACATGAAGGAGCATGTGTTGATTACGATTTTTGCCAATGCCGGAAGCGCGTTCGGGAACGGTCCGGCGTATGCTATTCATATCGTTACGGCTATCAAAGGCTTTTATCGCCGGAAAATCTCCTTTTTAGCTGGTTGGATTATCATCAACACCACACAGGTTTTTCTTTTACCTTATGCTTCCATTTTAATTTCTTTACCTAAAGGGAAAAAGAGAGAGAGAGAGAGAGAATTTATTATATGTTGTAAAAAGTAATAAAAATGAAAA